CTCTAGTACTGAAGCAAAAAGGTGAGAACTGTCTCTAAACCCCTGTGCAAGAACTGTCCAAGTATACTGCTGCTTTTCTCTTGAAATGCGACTTTTCCATTCAAAGGCAAACAGAAAGTGGGAGTCTGAATGTAGGGGAATGGAAAAAATACATCTTTTAAATCTAAGACTGAGAACCAATTACTGTTCCCTGGAATTTGGGAGAGAATTGCATCAGAGGCTACACTGGGATGACAGCTTCGTTAATGAGGTGGAGGGCTTGTAACATCCTATATTCTCCTTAGGACTTTACTGCAAGGAGAATGGGAATATTTCAAGGGGACTGACAAGGCTTCAGAAAGCCGTATTTGAGAAAATGTCCATGATGGGCTCGAGGCCTTTATGTGTCTCTTTGATTGGATACTGCCTCTGGTTAGGAAACTAGCTGGGGTCTTTTAGTTTTATATCTGCTGGCAGAGCTGAATTTGTCCTACCAAGTATGTGATTACACCATACAGCAAGATCCACCTGTTGGCTAATTTGGTTAGGGAGACCTGGTATAGTCCCAACAGGTAAAATCCATTCTGGCCTTTGTCAGAATTTGAGAATTTCCCCCAAGTTTTGCTAGTAAATCTCTTCCTAGCAAGGGAGTAGGACACTGTGGGACAATTAGAAACTCATGGTTAAACATGTAACCTTCAAAGTGACACGTCAGAGCAGGAGTAAAGAAATCTCTGAGTAAGGGTCCCCTCAACTCCAACTATGGTTATAGGTCTAGAGGAGGGTTTTCCAGAGAAGGAGGTCAAAATTGAATGAGCTCCCTCTGTGTCAATAAGTAACTGAACTGGCTCACCTATGACATCTAAGATCACTCAGGGTTCCTTGCAGGGGATGGTGATGTCCATTGACATGGGCACTGTAGGTTCTCCTGGGCCTCTTCAATCATCAGAGCAGGAAATGTGGGTTTTGTCTGTCATAGTCCCTTCTCTGGGAGCAGGGAGAGTTACTCCTACAGTACCATGATTCGGGCACACTGGAAGCCTCATATTTGGAGCAGGGCCCAGTTGGTGGTTGGTGCAGTTGTGTGCCAGTGTCCAGTCTTCTTGCATTTGAAACAGGAACTCTTTCCTTGGTTGTCGTTGGGTTTATGTTAGATGACCTGGGTGAGTTTAAAGCACTGCCAATTGTGTCAGCTATAATCTTTGCCTTTCTCTTTTGACCCTCCTCTGGATCCTGAACATGGACAGAAAGGCCATGTCCAGCAATTAGGTCACAGGTACCTGTGGCCCCATCTGAAGTTTCTGTAATTTACAACGAATATCTGGGGCTGACAAATGCAATGTCTGCTTCTCCCTCCATGGAAGATGGATCTGTTAGTATATTTATGAAAGACTTCTACTAATCTATTACAGAAAACAGCTGCACTTTCCTCTTTGCCCTGTATGACCCCACTCAACTTACCATAACTAACAGATTTCTTAATACACCTTTTCATCCCCATAGTAAGAGTAGCTGTCATATCATGCATCATTTTTAGTCCCTCTCTAGTATTACAGTTCCAGTTTGGTTCCATTAAAAGGACAATAGCCTCTTCAGGGTGGTTTCTTAACCTTCTTAAAGCATATGCTCATCTGCATAGTCTCTTGTAGGATTCTTTGACTTTTATCCTGGGTATAGCAAGTGGCCAAGATGAACTGGACATTTTGCCATGATAAGTCAAAAGCAAGGATCAAAGTTTAAAACCCATCTAGAAATTTACTAGGATCCTTGGATAGTTGGTCTAGCCGTTTTTTGCACTACTGGATATCTGCAACTGAAAAAGGGACCTGAACTCGAAGTACTCCTTTCTACTTCTGGGACTCTCTTAGGGCAGGGCAAGTTGTGAATTAGGGGAGTAAGAAGGACCACTTCAGGTTCGTCTTGTGGGCCTTACAGCTATCTGTGTGCAATCAGTGCGACCTAAGGCTGTCTGAAGGACATGATGAAAGGACTGAGGAATACTGGGTTCCTCTGGGGCACTAGACTCTAGTGTTGTTCCTGACTCACTTGGAAGGGATGGACCTGATTTACTGGCCTGAGGATTATAAGGAGGAGGTCAAAGAGACCTGTCATCATTAAACAGCCTGGAGAGACCCTGAGAGACAGGTAGGGCTCTGAGGACAGGATCATCAAAGATATCTTTCTCTTCCTCAGAGGCCCCTCTATATACCAGTTTCTGGGCATTTCCTGAGATAAAGGGTCATAAAAGCCTGAACATAAGCCATTGTTAGGGCATGGAAACAGTCAGCAAACTTTCAAGGATCCTCAGAAAATCTACCCAATTTTTCCTTGCATTGCTGAATATCCATAACTGAAAAGAGAACTAGCACTTGGATAATACCATTAGTGCTTGCCACTTCTTAAAGGAATACAGCAGTGGTGGGCTTAGATGTTGAGTTCCTTGAATCCAGGGCCCTACAGTATGTGGGCATAGACATAGTATAGAGTGGACTTAGGAGATGGCCTTTATCTTGAGAGTGATGACTGAGCAGAATCCTAAAGTCATAGCCCGTGAGGAGGAGAAGCTGACAGGAGGGAATCCTCTCCTGAGGGTTGCAGACTTCTTGGTTATAGATGAGGCATCTGGTAGAGGGCCATAAAGGCTTGAACATAAGGCACCTCTGACACTTTTATTCTTACAGTAAAGATATAACTGAAATATGGCATTATATTTTAGGCTGCCCAGGAGTGGCCACATCTCATTTTCTCCAAGTGGATCATTTTTTTTATTACACAGGAATATAAGATGGATCTCTTTGAAGGGTCTTAGTGTGGAACTATTCCCAAAGGTTAAGAAGAAATCCAACCAGGCACTCAGAAAGAATAGATGAGGTTGTTCCCATCTGCAGATAGGAAGAGTAAAAATTAGGTTCTAGAATTCCATAGGCCTGTCCTTGGGTTGGTTTCCAATAGCTGGGATCTGACAGTGCATCTCCTGCTAGCAGGCCTCTCCCTGGTTCAGTCTCCATTAGTGGGAACCTGGCAGGGTATCTCCTGGAGATCCTGTCTAGCTCTTGTGTCAGGTGTCCCCTAGTAGAGCTGGACCTTTTGGGGCTGGATGTCTCCAGCCTTCAGTGAGCACCAGTGTTACTTTCTTTGGATCCATTGGAGTTTTTCCTATAAACACAACTCATCTTTTAGTTGAAGATTGCAGAACTAGGATGTCTTATTAGTTGGATATTCTTTAGCCAACTGAAAAGGAATAAGACTCATCCCAAGAGAAAACTCATCGCACTAGATCAAGCCATAAAGCATGCATATCTGATGACAGAATCTCAAAATAAAAGTCAGGCACCATGTAAATTCAGTCAGCAAGTACAGGTTATACATCCTTTGTGACAGCAGCAAAAACTTAAAGCCACAATTATTACAACAAAAGTAAAACTGAGTAAGAAGAAGAGTAAACCAATATTAGCAAACTACTTCAGGAAGCAACAGTTTCAGATGGGCTTTAGAACCTCGAGGAAATCGAGTCAACTAGAGCTGGGTGCTTCTTGCCAGTGGCTGCTGCAGCAGCAGGAGTTTTAAAATGCACAAATTTTTTTTAGTCCTGTGTAAGAAGACACTGCACCTCTTAACTCTATTTTTTGAGTAATCCAGAACCAACAACTAAACAAATGAAACACTCTGATAGCTGAAAGGTTGAAGGGGAGGGGGAATCAGATAAGGAGAGGAAAAAAAGCTAAAATGGATGAAAAGGAAACACTTATTCAGAGCCTATGACCCATGGGGAAGCACAAACATCCTTGGTGTTAAACAAAAGCTGCCTGAGTCCAGGCAAATTACCAAGTACTCCACAGAGAAAAGAAACAATTCAGGTGGGCCAGGTCCATGTCTCCTGGTCCCCTGCTATAGGCAGCTATGTCAAACCACTTGTTTATCGGTGGTGACCTTCTCTGCTTGGCTCAGTTTAGGCCCAGCCCCCACTGAGGGCTATGTCATAGCCTTCAAGATAGGATTTTCCACCTTGTGTGGACAAACAACAGAATATAAGCCCAGTTGATTGGTAGGGGTCCTACTGTCTCCATAAGGGCCTTTTGTTTTTCAATCTAGTGGTGATTGGTCTACCTCTCCTCCCAGGAATCTGGGTTTTTGCACAGCAAGGGGAAGAAAAACAGTCTCCCAAGGGAGTGGGGAGTTAACCTTCCTTGCTGGCTGAGTTGTTGGCTGACTGCTTCTGTTGAGGTATTCTAAGGTCTCTGGGCTACTGAAGCTTACAGTGTCTGGTTCAGTCTCTAGGTTGCTGTGCAATAAAGTACCTTGGCTCCCTGTCTAATGAGGTCTCCTGAGGTTTGATGATATCCTCCTGGCTGGCTCACCAGATTGTACAGTAGAATGGGCCAGTAATAGTCCAGGTTCTTGTATATGAGGAACAAAGAATTCCCAAGTGTACACCCAGTAGTAAGTAGTAGTACTAAGTTTACTGAAGATCACAGGAAGTTGTGCTCAGGGCCAGACCATGCCAACAGTGGTATAACATAGGCCAAGAAAGGTACCGTGGTGAAAGAAAAAGGGTGACCTGCACACAGGTCAAAGGTAGCAGCAGCAACAGGAAAAAGGATCAATAACTGAGGCTTTCAGAATTTAAAGACCAGACACCACTCCTTTAGATGCCTCCCACTGAATCTCCCTAGTCAGCAAATGCTTTGGCACATGTGCTCTCCCCTAAGCTATCTGTGATCCCACTGACTTTTGTTATTTTATTTTCTACCTCTCTTAGGATAAAGAAAGCAGGAGTAACCACTGGGTGCTGTTTACAATCAAATGAGGGAAGGGAGTGACTCACTCAGCTCCTTCGATTCTAACTGTACTAAAGTCAGTATGCTTTTTTTTAAAAGAATGGAGCAAAGACTTTACTGAATTGGCTTTTTATAAGAATTTATCTTTACAAGAAAAAGATTGAATTTCTGGAATTCTAAATTCAATTCCTATAACTTTCTACCAACATAATGAACAACTATAACAAGGAACTTTAATCTTACCTGACGTAAGATGTTTTTGACACTGAGGAACATATTTCTCAAGGAGACGTTTCATACGTGAATCTTTGGCCTCATCCAAAGCACACTTTCCATTGTCACTTCTAAATAGTGGGTCAGCTCCACTCAAAAGAAGTAACTCTGCAACCTAGAAAAAGATTGTTTATGTAAGAAAGTCCAGACAAACAAGTGCTAGCACACACTAAATGTGTGCTTTCAACAATATCTCTAGGATTACTTGTAACATCTTTAGCCAACAAAAAAATTAATGTAGTTGCTACTCAAACTTAATTTAAAACAGATCCCTTAAAACAGATTCCTTTTCTTACAAAAAAAAAGTGGAAGGGGGAAAAAGAAAAGAAGAAAGGAAGGGAGAATGAAGCAGTTCCCTTTTTTAACTGAAAAATTTAAAGGAGACAAAACCATTGCCTAGCTCACTTGTTTTTAAGTTATTTCTCCATCCCAGGTTCCAACAGGCAACATGTAATGCTGAAAACTGATACTGAATGGCAACAGTCCCCCAAAGGCCTGGCGCCCTGGCACCAGGAAGATCCCCAAAAAACCAAAACCAAAACAAAACACGATTGGTAACCCCTCATAGTTTGATGCATATGCATATCTCTGGGCTTCTTGTTTCTACTCTTCTCCCATTTATCCTACTGCTTCTGAGGGTTCCAAGAGGCAGACCAGCTGTCATTCTAATTTGGCCAAACGGTAAATAAATCCATTTTCCTTTCATCATTCTCTTTTCTCTTACTCCCAATGTGGTAGATGACTGAATACAGTCCACTGGGATCCCCAGTAGCAGGAATGGGAGAGGAGGAAAGGACAAAGAAAGGGAGAGAGGCTAGAAATGTTTGCAGCTCAGCTGCTGGTGAACTGAAGCTAGCAAATAGGAATTAGGATTGGGTTCTGCAGTAGTGTGGTAGTTTAGTATAGTTATTATGTGTAGGCACTTAGAGCAGTCTAACAATAGGGTCAGATAAAAGAACTAATTTAATCAATAGCTGGTTAACCAAGCAGCCACTAAAGCTTAGAAATATAAAAGAAAACAAAAGAAGAGAGAATAAGATGTTAGGATGAGACTAGAAAAATAAGGACTATTCCCTTTCAGGAAGAAGGCTTATCCAGTTAACAGCTTTACATGTCTCCTCTGCCTCTGGACCCCAGGCAAACAAATGCAAGATAACTAGTTTTCTTTTGAATTCATCATCTTTGAAACAAGTTCTCAGGCTCTCCCTATGTATATAAGGCTAAGACAAAGAAAGTATATTGGACATTTTTCCCCTCTTGATTCATCTTCACCAAAGGCTTTCTCTTCACATTATTGCCAATAAAACTAATTACTTCTTCCTTGGGTTCAGGACTTCCTTCCTCATTGTTCATGGGACAACAAGCTCGGTTTGTACAGAAATGGCCATTACAGTGGCAAATTAATTTAACAGGTTCCAGTAGATAATTACATCTTCTCTATCTGTGTATAGGTACATATGATACTGCTGTTCTTCCTCAGATGATCAGAAAGAAACTGGTCAATCCTTACTCTTCTCATTTTCAAATAATCTAATCAATGCAGCTCTTCTTGACCACTTTCCACCCACTGCTGCCCCAGGTAAAATGGGGCTTCCCTCTTTAATGTACGTATTTTATTATAAAACCCAGTAAACTCTATATTACACTTTTGTGTTTTTCCTATTGCACTGTTAAGTTTCTTGAAGGTGGAATTGTTTTTCCTTTCATACTAATCTGTAATTTTTGAATAGGAAATTAATGGATATAGTTCAAATTCAGACACCTGATAGCTCAGAAGAGCTCAAAAAAGTATGTAGTGAAAGTAAATTTGCCTCCTCCATGCCTGTCCTCCAGAAATCTTATTTTTTCCTGGGTCAGCCCTGGTTATGGTTTCCTCTGAATTTTTCCAGCATTAGTCTAGTCCAACAAGTATGAATATATGTATGTATCACATACATGTACACAGATTTTCTTACACAAGTGGTCATATGTTAGACACACCACACTGTATCTTGCCTCTTTTCCCCCATCCTCCCAACAACAGTCCTTACAGCTAGTTTCATATTAATGTAGATTGTACTTCCTCATTCTTTTTTTTTTAATTCCTTAAGTTTACCGGTACATTTTAGGTACACAGTATGACGACATTCATTGTTGGGGATTTATACCTTTACATGAGATATCGTGGTTCTTATTTTTCCCCCATACCCCTATCCTCCTTTCAATCCCTCCACCTCTCCTTATTTACAAAGACTTTGTTTCTGATTTTTCTTTTTTCATATTTATTCCTTTCCCTTCTTTTCTTCTGCTAACCCTCCCACTTCCCCTTCCCCTTTCCCTTTGGACCTTCTCTTCCTATTTCACATTATCTCTTATACATTTTGATCCTCACTTACACTTGCAATTTCTCACACCAGAGAAAATATTTGGTATTAACACGTGTGTCCTATTTATTTCACTTAAGAGTATGGCCTCAGTGTGCATCCATTTAGCTATAAAGGTCTCTAGTTTCTCATTCTTCGTGGCTGAGTAGTACTTCATTTTATAAAAGAACCACATCTTCTTTATCCAGTTACCAGTTGATGGGCATTTGGGCTGTTATCAAGATTTAGCCATTACAAACTGTGCCACACGTATTGCTCTGGTATGATTCTTTTAATTCTTTGGGGAAGATACTCAGCAGGGGAATAGCTGGGTCAAATGGGACTTCTAATCCTAGTTTTTTGAGGAATCTCCATACTGATTTCCACAGTGGTTGCACCAGTCTACACTCCCACCAACAGTGGAGGATTGCTTTTTTTCCCCACAATGCTGCCAGCATTTGTTACTGATTTCTTGACAGCAGCCATTCTTTCTGGGGTGAGGTGGAATCTCAGCATTGTTTTCATTTGCATCTCTCCAGTGACTAGTGATGTTGAACATTTTTTCATTATGTTTATTTGCCATTTCTACTTCTTTGTCTGAGAAATGTCTGTTAATTTCAGATGCCCATTTTTGGATTGGGTCTTTAAATCTGGGAGGTCTGATTTTTTAAAGTTCTTTATACATTCTAGATATTAGACCTTTATCTGAGGAACAGCTGGTAAAAATTTTTTCCCACATGGTGGGTTGTCTCTTCACACTGTTGGTGGTTTCCCTTGCTGTGAAGAAGCTTTTAAATAAGATGAAATCCCAGTTGTGGATTCTTTGTGCTAGTTCCCATGTGGCTGAAGTTTTGGTCATGAAGTCTTTTCCATGCCAATCTCTTAAAGAGTTCTACCTAACTTTTCTTCCAGCAGGTTTAGTGTTTATGTTTTAATATTTAGATCTTTGATCTATTTCGATTTTAGTTCAGTGCATGGTGAGAGATGTAGGTCTAGTTTTAATCTTTGGCAAGTTGAAACCCAATTTATCCAACACCAGTTATTAAAGAGGCTATCTTTGCCTTCTGGGGAGATCTGGAAGAAGTTGGGGGGGGTAGAAAAATAAGAGAGGGAAAGGGTAGAAATAAGGTTAGAGGACAAAGATCATGAGAACTCTAGGAAACTCGCGAAGACAGAAGGTAAAGAGAGAAGGAAGGAACAAAGAATAGAACAATAATAGAACAAACTGACAGCAACAGAAAAACTAGAAACTGTATTCTATTTCTATAAAAATAACAATCGAGAAAAAACACAACAAAAACAGGAACAAAAGCAAGGAATGAAGGAGAAAAGAAGGAAAAAAATGTCCCATTCAAGGAATGTCTCTGTTGCCCCCGGTTGAGAACATGGGTAGTGTACAGATCTGTGTTGACTGATCTCAGCGAATCAGCCGTAGTCCACTGAAGTTCAGGCTGGTTTCTGGCTGTGAGGCTGGAATTGAGCTTCCTGACCTTCTGCAGGTTTGAATTCTGCACAATTCTACTGCAGGTTTGAGCCACCCTTCCCCCAAAACAAGTCTTGTTCCAGTAGGAGGTATTGACCCCAACCACTCACTAACCACTGCAGTCTGTTGCGCCTTTATTGAGGTGACTCTTTGCTTTTCCAGTGGGCTTTGATTCTCAACAAGCCTCAGAGAGGCCTCTCTACTGCTCACCACTGTGGCAATTCCTGGGCTCAGAATGATGGCCTTCTGGATTCCCGTGCTGTGCTGCTGGCCTAAGGGGCCTCTCACTGGGGCCTGCACACCCTTTCTGATGGTGTCAAGAGGGTGGGTTTCTGGCTGGGGGCTGCACACTTACAGATGGTATCTGGGCAGGCCTCTGGCTGGGAACTGCGTGCCCTTACTGATGGTGTGGGGGGGGGGACCTTCTGGCCACTTCCTCATTCTTTTTAGCAATTGAATAAGTCTATTATATGTATTATAATTTATTTAACCAGTACCCTATTGATGAATGCTAATTTGCTTCAAATCTTTAGCTACAGATAAATGTCTTAATTGTCTTTATATTCCTAGTATCTGTCTCAGTATCTGGTGCAGAGTAAATGATCAAAAGTGTTGTTTAATAAAACAAATGGCTGTAGGACAGGGAGAATGTGGGAAGCAGGTACGAAGTGTAACATTACAATAAAAGAAGACGAAATTTCTATGATAATGTCTGGAATGAGATGATCTAAATTTCTGTTTATTGTATGTATTTAAAAATTAGAAGGCCTGGGATTTAACTCAGTGGTTCCGCCACCTGCCTCACAAGTGCAAGGTCCAAAGTTCAATCCCTGGTACCAAAAAAAAACCTTAGAAATATATTCATTTTCCTTTTATAAGAAAATATTCTGACTAAAACAGTTTGAATCTTCTCTCACCTTTGATATTAGTGAGCCACCCAAATGTGTGCTATACACAAACACAACAGGTATCCTTTTGCCATTTTCCTATAATAATTAGATAATTGTAGCCAGCTCCCTTCCTTTGGGTTCTTGTCCTGAGGGTGATAAATGTCGAGGCAAGAGGACACAGCAAGCAGTGAGAAACAACTGGGTGTGGCTTATTAGAACAAAAAGGAAAGCTCCTGCTGTCTAGAGGGGCGCCAAAAGATAAATACCACAGACGTTTAAATCCAGAGACTTTTATACAGTCTTTGGCAGAACAATGCAGGAAAATATCCACGAAGCAAGTAAACAATTGCAGCTACTAATTCGAGGCTTTTGCTGTCCAGAAAGCAGCCTGCATTATTTC